ACATGGGGAATGGATCCCATCTGTGTTTGAAGTGTGGGAACTCGTTTCGTGGCTGTGAAGCTTTCCCAAACATCTCCAGAGCCACCCCGGACTGAAGCCCTACAAATGTGGAGAGTGTGGGAAGCATTTTGCTAAAGGCTGGGACATCGGAGCTCCTTAGCGTATCCACCAGGGAAAGAGACCTCAGGAAGGCCTCAGTGTTTTTCCGGGCCTCAGAACAGCCCAACTGAAGAGAAACCCTGCAATTGTGTGCAACGTGGGCTTTGCTTTTCTTAAAACTCAGAGATGCTTAAACATCAAGAAATCCACACTAGACAAAAACCTTATCAATGTCTTTTGTTCAAAAAACAAGTCTCAAAATCCACGGGAAATTTCAAATGGAAGTAAAACCTTATAAATGCTTCAGGTGTGGAGAATGTTTCACTCTGAGTTCATCACTTTGCAATCATAATAAAACACACACAGAGGAGGAAAGCAGAACGTGCCTAGAATGTGGGAAATGTTTTTCCAGAAAATCATCCCTGCAGCGACATCAGACAGTCCACACTGGGGAGCGACCTTATGAATGTCTGGAATGTGGGAAATGTTTTTCCAGGAAATCATCCCTGCGGGAACATCAGAAAATCCACACTGGGGAAAGACCCCATGAATGCCCAGAATGTGAGAAACGATTTGGGAGTCATTCCACACTTTGGACACACCAAAAGACGCACACAAGAGAAAAACCTTATAAATGTAACGATTGTGAGAAATGTTTTTCTGTAAAGGGAAGTCTTTTTCGACATCAGATGATCCACACAGGAGAGAAACCCTATCAGTGCGTCGAGTGTGGGAAATTTTTTTGTTTGATATCAAACCTCAGACATCACGAGAAAATTCACAGAGGGGAAAAAAATTTCAAATGTTTAGACTGTGGGAGAGCATTTATTTGTTCATCTCATCTTAGAAGTCACTGGAAAGTCCATACAGCAGAGAAGCTCCATAAATGCTCAGTGTGTGAGAAATCTTTCATTCAGAAAGACAAGCTTTTGATACATCAGAGAACCCACAGTGGAGAGAAACCACATAAATGTTCGGAGTGTGGGAGATGTTTCTCCATGAGGTTACACCTAATTCGACATGAGAGACTTCACACCGGAGACAGGCCCTATCAATGCCCAGAATGCGACAAGCGATTTGTGGAGTCTGCTGAACTCCGGAGACACCAGAAGGGGCACACAGGAGAGAAGCCCTATAAATGTGGGCAGTGTGGGAAAGGTTTTCTCACAGCAACACTGTTTCGGGTTCATAAGAGAATCCACACAGGGGAGAAGCCGTACAAATGTGTGGAGTGTGGGAAATGCTTTTCCCAAAAACAACACCTCGGAAGTCATCAAAAGGTCCATCAAAGAATGAAGCCATAAAGACTCATAGAGGGTAGAAATCTTTTGCTCAAAAGGGAAATATCAGAAAACTCACATGGGAGAAGGCCTAAGAGGCCCTGATGATGGAACAGTTTTTCATAGTTATTTCACACTGAGAGGTCATGTAAAAGTTCCTAAAATTAGAAACTCTTAGATCCTGAGAGAGCATTTTTTGTCAATCATCCCTTAAAAAATCATACTCTAATCCATATAGGAAAGATGTATCTAGTTAGGAATGCATTGCTACAGACTTGGGAAAAAATAACACAAAAACATTATATAAGAATTCCAGTGTGGTTATCCCCAACAGAAGCTCTGAAACACCCAAACCTACTGGATATAAATAAGATAGTTAGATACAAGGAATTAGTAAACGAACAGGGAAATCTGCAAACAAAATAAGAATTGGAACAAGATATAGGCAGAAAGATTGACTGGTGGACATTTTCACAAATTCAATCCAAATATACAGAGGACAAAAAATTATATGAAATACAAAAAGAACCGCAAGAACTGGATAAAATTATACATGGAACAGAAATAAAATTAATTAGCAATTTATACAAATACCTATTGAGATATAAAATGGAAGATGAGGTTGTCAAAGACAGTGATTAGATGGGCAAAAAAATTTCGGATATAGTATAGAATTGGAGAAATGGGAAAAAATATGGGAAATAAATATAAAATTGACTATGTCAGCAGCATTCAAGGAAAACCAGTTGAAGATGTTTTACAGATGGCATCTTCCACCAGCAAAGCTTGCCAAGATGTTCCAGAACAATTCGCCAACATGTTGGAAATGTAAAAAAGTACATGGAACATATTATCATTTATGGTGGACATGCCCAGTTGCGAAAAAATACTGGACTAAAATAAGAA